GTGTGTAAGTATTCTTTCTTTTTTCAGGCATGGATAGATTTGTGGGTGTTACTTGTACTCTTAGCTGAAAAATAAAAGTCTATACAGGAATAAATGGTCCAGGCCATTTATATCAGTTTAATATAACGCTGGGTGCATATTCAAAGTGAAAGGATATATCAAGAGCTGATATTCTAATCAATCAAGCTGTTGGCACCTCTAAAATTTAACTGTGGGTGGCGTTGTGATTAGATTTAAAGGCAGTGCAAAATGTTTTCTCCAGCCACAAAATGATAGGATCATGTCAAGGTGGAAGAGACAAATCACTAATAACCTCATGGCAACCTAATCATTTCACATTACAGCATAGGAAGGGTGGTTCCCCTGACTTTTAGGAGGTTTTGTAGATGATAAATTTGATTTCTGGTTGTGAGTCCTCATGGAATCTCATAGGGTGCCTAGGAAACTGATTTTTCCAGAGATGCCAGGTTCTGAAATGATGAGAAATATCCAGATAAGTGTGTTTTTAAGCAAAACAGTTGGATATGTAAATTATTTGCTGAAGTACATGGAAACAGATATACGGATTCAGGACATAGAGGTAAAACAAAGCTGCATTCATTTTTTAGGCTTAAATAAAAAATAGAGCACTTATTAACTTAGAAATGGGTTGGTTTAATTTCTTCCAGTGCTCTTTAGGGTCCTTGATAAGAGGCGTTTGATAACTGCTCATAATCATTTCATCCAACTCTTCAAGGCAATTGATTTAGGATAAAACAGAAAGACCTTCCTTTTAGTTTCTCAGGACTTAATCAATTAAATATGTTAATTACTGTACTTAAATTTTTCTTGTGATGTTGTGTGTTTGTTAAGGTGGATCATTAGGGCAATTGATGAAAAATAGCTTCCTGCTGAGCCAGGATAATGAATATTGACATTCTTGGCTTTTACAGCCAATAGAAATCACGTTTCCAAGTCTCCAGTTCCATGGGGCTTGCTTAATAAATAACTTCCCCAACCATCTGCGTTATGAGAATGGACTCGCACAAAGTATGGAGTGAATAAAATTGAAAAATTGTTCCTGGATTATCATCAGCATCTGTAAAGAGCAAATATTGAGGCTAGATATTTGAATCTCCAAGAATGAGAATGACAGGGTGAGCCTGGGCCTGGGAGTTGGGAGATATAAACAGGATGGACTCAGAGTCATTAATGCTAAATCTCTTCTCCCTGCTGGGTCTGCTATATTAGAGTCAAGGAACATTACCGCATTAAATGTGGCCAGAGTTCC